GGACAGCCCCTCGCTGCGCCTCGACGCCCCGCTCTTCGTCACCTTCTTCCAGTGCGCCCTCACGGCCGCCCTCTGCCTGGGCCTCAGCCTGGGGACGGCCTGCGGGCCCCCCGGCTGCCCCGGCCTGCCCGCCCTCCGCCTCGACCCCAAGGTGTCCCGCAGCGTCCTGCCCCTCTCCGCCGTCTTCATCGGCATGATCACCTCCAACAACCTCTGCCTCAAGTACGTCGGCGTGGCCTTCTACAACGTGGGGCGCTCGCTCACCACCGTCTTCAACGTGCTGCTCTCCTACCTGCTCCTCAAGCAGACCACGTCGCTCTATGCCCTGCTGGCCTGCGGTGCCATTATAGGTGAGCAGGGCCGGGAGGGCACCTGGCTGTGTCGCGTTGGGGCCCCACGGACACCTGTGTGGTGTGGACCTACCATGCAGGCAGTGCTGCGGCCTCGGAGAGCTGGAGCAGGGTTTCCCCCGAGGCTGGGCAGGTGACTGGAGCGAGGCCTGATTAACAGGGTTTTGGGGTCCTGGTGTCTCATTCTGTTGGTTGTAGCACACTGTTGTATTGCTTCGTCTTGTGGGGTGAACCCTGTTTGCTCTCTGGCTGTTGTCACTGGCATCTCAAGTCTCCAGCCGCTCAGGGGTATGTATCCCTGCAAAGCAGGGAGTGCTAAACTCCCACAGGCCTAATGAGAGCTTCCTGTCCTTTATTTGCAGATGTTGTGCCGCACCCCTTGGTGGGAGGCAAAGCCATAAGTGAGTGGTGATCCTGCAGGGCACTCGGGCTTGGTAGTGCTGTTCTGGCCTTATGCTCAGACCTAAATACTGAGCTGACTCCCCTAAATACTGAGCTAGGCAAAACTGTCCTTCCCTTTGATAGTCTCCTGCCATGTACACAGCTGCTCCCTGATGAGATAGTGTAACTTTAGAGCTCTCTTCTTTGCTCTGCCGTGGACAATTTGCTTGCATGTTGAGAACATGTAAGGAACAGCCCGTATGAGGAAATAACTCTTTTCTGACTGTTGTTTTTTTCCCTTCCCTTTGAGCACTAAGCAACTGTCAGCTCTTCTCCACTGAAGTTTAACTTACCTTAACGTGCTATTATTTTTTCACAGAGGCCTTAAAACGACTGGTTGTTTTCTCCTTACTTTCAAATGATTCTGGCATTATTAGCTTTGATAACAATAACAGTGTTTAATAACTAAACAGTATTGTGACCATACAATGGAGCCTGTCATTTCAGACAGGCTGAATGCATATGATGAAGGGTTAGCTAATCAGTCAAGCTTACTGCACAACTAGAGCTTCTGATGTTTGAAGGCAGTAGGCTTTAAGGGCACGGCTTATGAGTCTTCCATTCCAAAGGCATCAGTAATGCCAAAAGCAACCTTCCACTTGATGGCCATTCAGATGCCAAGGATAGTGAATTTCTTATTTTAGTCCATTTCCAGGTGGATATGTGTTTGCTCCAGTGCTTAGACAAGCAGATGGATTTGAAGTAAAATGAGTTAGGAGACCCTCTTCCCCACAGAAGGGGTGAACAGGAGGGCCTATCTGACAAACAGGTACTTATTTTTTTGCAAGTGATGCAATTGGCTTCAGTGTTCCTTCAGTAGCTGATCTCCCCGTTACGGTTTTCTTATGAGCTGGATGAGGGGAAGTCTCCCTCTGCCCTGTGGAGACAGAGTCTGTAGTTCCTGTTTCAGAGGTGGTTAAAGAATGCACCGACTTTCAAAGTTCAACATGGTAAAGACACTGCACTCGGTTTCTGTCTAGTGATCTTTTTTGCTAAAGCTTTTTAGTGTTACAGCCACGTGTTTTACAGTCTTTCCTTCTTCTGATTTCTCTTTTTTTTTTTCTTCCTATAACAGTGCAGCAAGCCCAGGTGGGTTGTGGGGCCTGCTTCCCCCTCACCCCCCTGTGGCAAGAGAGGAATATTTCTTGCTCCCTGTGTGTCCCATTCACTTCCTTGTCAATAAAAAAAAATGACATGATCTCCTTCTGAAAGTGATCTGTACACAAAGAATATCTTTAACTTTAGTTCGTGACTTTTTGGAATAATTCTAAACTCCTGCTGCCTAATTGCTGTAGATTCTTGAAGATTGAATGATTGTGCAGTAAAACATCTGCGCTCTTAAAAACAAACAAACAAAAAGCACCCTTCCAGAACACTAGTCATGACACACTGTGGATTTGCATAATAGAAAGATGAAGCCCTTAAGCCTGTCTCTGCTTGTGGTCGTGGTTTTTTTTTTTCCAGTGTAAGGTAGATGATAAATCATTGACCATATGTGTTTTGAGTCCTTCACTGGTTGTTCAGATTGTTCCTGATTTGTTTGGTTGCAGGTGGCTTCTGGCTGGGTGTTGACCAGGAAGGAGCAGAGGGCACTCTGTCATGGGCTGGTATATTCTTTGGGATCTTAGCAAGCCTGTGCGTCTCACTCAATGCCATCTACACCAAGAAGGTGCTGCCTGTGGTGGATGGTAGCATCTGGCGCCTGACCTTCTACAACAATGTGAATGCTTGTGTCCTGTTCCTCCCCCTCATGATGCTGCTGGGCGAGTTCCGCACTCTCTACCACTTTGACAAGTTGGGGAGCCCCAGTTTTTGGGGCATGATGACGCTGGGTGGAGTGTTTGGCTTTGCCATTGGGTATGTGACTGGACTCCAGATCAAGTTCACTAGCCCGCTCACCCACAATGTCTCTGGGACAGCCAAGGCCTGTGCCCAAACAGTGCTGGCTGTTGTCTATTTTGAGGAGACAAAGAGCTTCCTGTGGTGGATGAGTAACTTGATGGTTCTGGGGGGCTCATTTGCCTATACCTGGGTGAAAGGGCTGGAGATGAGGAAGGTACAAGAGGAACCTACTCTCAGAAGCAGTGAAAAAAGTGAGACTGGTGTGTAGGCAGCTCTAGCCTGCACCTCTGCTTCTGTGCCTGGGGAGCTAACCTTCAATGCAAAAGGAGCTGGGAGCAGGAAGAAGTTGACCTGCGAAGTGTATGAGAAGTTGTGTCAGGAACCAGAGCCAAAGGCCTGTCTGGGCTGTATTTTATTCACTGAATCTCACCCTGTCTCTGAGTTGGGAAAGCATGGCTTAGAAAGACTGATCGGTTACAGTGATTTCTTTTTAAAACGCATGTTTCTGTTCACCTAATCTGGACAACTTGCTTCTCTGGAGGTTGGAGGTACAGTGGACAAAGAACAGGATGAGAGCTGTGTGTATATGGTGATAGAGAATGACAGCAAACTGAATTAACATAGTCTGAAATGATGAAATCCTGAACCTTCATGAAAGGAAGAAGCAGGTAGCCAGACTGTCGGGGACAGTCTCCAGTGAAGTGTTCCCCTATAGTAGAATTGGCAGGAGTAATTCTTCCCATTACTCACCTTAAAGCAAAGGACTGGAACCTTCCTCCCTTCTAGTTCTGTACAAGTCTAAGCAGAAGCAGTGCCTCTAAATCTCATGTCCAAAGAGCCAGCATCTCTTCCTGTTGAGGTCTCTTGTGGCTATGTTTCTGTACATCAGGTTTCTTAGTTCAAGAAACTGTCCAAGAGGCAGGGCCAAACTTCTAATTCCCTCTCTACCCTCTTCTGCAGAGGGAGAGCATATTGTCTTAAATGGTGTGCCTTTGTTGAAGAGGAGCAAGGTGTCTTCCTATTTCAGGATTAGAAAGGAGGAGGGGGGAAAACTTGTGTAGGGTGGAGATCCCAGGACAGAGTTCACATTTGTCCTCTTTCCCCTCTGTGTAGGGGAGAGGTTTGTGTCTGACAACTGTGTTGTTACTAATTAGGCCAGTTTCGGGGGACTTGTGCCATGCCTCCTGTTGATCCCCCTCTGGTGTTTGTGGTTTGTCTTTTGGCTTGTTCCTTGTAACTTTTTTCCTCCTTTTCCCCCACGTCTGGTTATCTGCCCAGCAGCAGCAATCACTTTAATTAGAACTTGCATTTAGGCTTCCTCTGAACAGTGGCAATCCTGCAGAACTCTTCACCCCATCTGGTCTTGTGCCAGTGCCATCTGAGGCTACTCTAAAGCCATGATTTCTAATCCTTATAAGCAATGACATGCTGTAATAAGTTGTCATGCTGTATTGTATACTGTATCAGCTTTCTAAACTCTGGGCCCCTTAATTCAAAGGGTTATATGAATAGGGATTTTGGGCAGTTGGTGCGACTGCTTTGTAGCATGGCTGGGTGGACCCTATGTGATGTCTGACCACTGCTACAGAAACGCTAGGACACTTATTTCTGTCCTGAGCGTGTTTCTTTCTGGTTTCAGGGGTCCCTGCTCAACACTTCTTGACTATGTTTACCACCTTGGTGGATGCCTCCTCTCATTCTTTTTTTGGTGGTGGAGGGTGGGCTTTTTGGTCCTCGAGGTTTTTCTATCAGAACAGACTTTTTTTTAAAAAAAATGATGCAAATACTGACTTGTAATTGTCAAACCTGTTGAATAAAAATGGATTGGTATCTTGGTCTGTCTGACTGAAGAGCTATTCAGCACCTGGCCAAGGGAATAGTGCCTCCTGGAGCAAGGAACGAGGAAACGGAACAAGGAGATTGCAAGCGCGGGTGGCTTCAGATGTCAAATTTGCTTAAGACGTTAAGGAACAAATAAGGTACCCCTCTCTTCCTGCGTGTGTGCTGGGGAGGGCTTCGATTGGACTCGGCTGGCTGCTGACTTGACTCGCTTAAGCCAGCGCAGCTTCTGCGCGTCCCCGAGCGCCCGAGGCGGGCTCTGCCTGCGCTAGGTGGGCCGGGGGAGGAGCTGCCCCTGCCCGGGGGGGG